GAATTAGCGCTTTCATATTCTTTGGATAAATACATAGGAATGGAATTGTTTGATCACATGGTACATCTATTTTTAATTGTTTGAGGAATCTCTATACTGTTTTCCATAGTGGCTGTGCCAGTTTACATTCCTACCAGCAGTGCACCTGGGTTCCCTTATTCCCCACATTCTTGCCAGTACTTGTTGTTTGTTGTCTTTTTGGTAATAACCATTTTAACAGGTGTGAGGTTGCTACCTTATTGTGGTTTTGATTTGCATTTCCCTGATGATAAGTAATGTTGAGCATCTTTTCATGTGCCTGTTGGCCATCTGTATATCTTCTTTGGAAAATGTCTAGTCAGTTCCTCTGCCCATTTCTTCTTAATCGGGGAGTTTATTTTCTTGATGTTCAGTTGTATATTTTGGATAGTAACTCTGTATCAGATACATCGTTTGCAAATATCTTCTCCTATCCAGTAGATAACCTTTTCTTTTTGTTGATAATTTCCTTCTCTGTGCACAAAGGTTTTTTAGTGTGAAGTAGTCTTGTTTATTTTTGCTTTTATGTCCCTTGCCTGAGGAGCCATCCCCCCAAAATATTACTAAGACTGATGTCAAAGAGTTACTGCTTGTGTTTTCTTCTAGAATTTTATGGCTTCAGATCTTATTTAAATTGAAATTTTTACATGGAGAAGAGACTTGTGGTTGCCAAGGAGGAAGAAGGGTGGGGGGAAAAGATTGGGAGTTTGGAATTAGCAGATGCAAACTATTATATATGAATGGACAAACAACAGGGTCCTGCTGTGTCTCACAGAGAGCGGTGCTCAGTATCCTGTGATAAACCATTACAGAAAAGAGTATGAAGAAGAATTTATGTGTATGTCTGACTGAGTCAGTCTGCTGTACAGAAATCAATACAGCAGTGTAAATCAACTATACTTCAAGAAAATATTTTTAAAAATAAATGAATTTAAATCTTTAATGCATGTAAAATTTGTTTTTGTGCTTGATGAGAGAGTAGTCCACTTTGACTCTTTTTCCATGTAGCTGTCCAGTTTTCCCAGCACCATGTATTGAAGAGACTGTCTTTCCCCCACTGTGTATCCTTGCCTCCTTTGTTGAGCCTTTAATTTTTGCCATTTTAAGTATGGTGTATTTTTTGTGTGGCCTCTCCGTTGATCCTGTTTGGGCTGTCTGTGCTTCCTGGACTGAGATGTCTGATTCCTCTCACAGGTTAGGGAGTTTTCAGCTGTTGATAGTATGCAGGTGTGTGTTCTCTACCCTTTGTCCCTCTCTCTCCTCCTTCTGGGACCCCTGCACATGAGAATGTTAGTGCCTGTAATGCTGCATGAGGTCTCTGAAGCTGTCCTCATTTCTTTTTTCGAAGCTTCATTTGTGCATTAATTTTTGACTGCACTGGGTCTTCGTTGCTGTGTGCGGGCTTTCTCTAGTTTCCCAGGCTCAGCTGTTGCGCCTCACACTCTGTAATGTGGACTCAGTAGTTGAGGCGCATGGGCTTAGTTGGTCCACGGCATGTGGGGTCTTCCTGGAGCAGGGATGGTGAACCTGTGTCCCCTGCATTGGCAGACAGATTCTTAACCTCTGGACCACCAGGGAAGTCCTTACTCTCTTTTTCTGTTTAGCTTCAGTGATTTCCACTGTTTATCTTCCAGCTTGCTGATCTCTTCCTCTCTGTCATCTAATCTACTGTTGATACCTGGTAGTGTTATTGTTTATTTTAGTAATTGTATTCTTCATCTCTGTTTGGTTCTTTTTTGTATTTGACATCTTCTCTTTGTTAAAAACATCTGACTTCTCACCCTGTTCATGCGTTCTGTCCCAAGTTCTTTGAGCATCTTTATGATCATTACCTTGACCTCTTTATCAGATAAATGGCATATCTCCACTTCACTTCGTTCTTCTTCTAGGGTTTTATCTCATTCCTTTTTTGAAACATATTCCTCTGTCACCTAATTCGCTATTTTTATTTCTATGTATTTGGTAGGGTGGCTACAATTTCTTCCTCTTTCAGGTATAGCAAGGGAGACACCCTTACAAATGGAGATTTCTATTACCAATGTATAATAAATATTTTCTTGCAAAGAGGCAACTCCTACTTGGTTTTCAGAGTTTTCCCCATTCTGCTATATCTTAAAAATAACCAGCTTAAATAATATTCCAAACAGACACATTTTGGGGTGGCAAATTCTGCTCCCCTTACATTATAACTGGCTCTGTTTTTTAGAGAAGTTTACATTCACAGCAGAATTGAACCATTTTTGATACTGATTTAACTTCATGCTATTTGTTAAAAAGGTGTCTATCTTTGTTATCAATTTTAGTGTATATACAAAATGTACTTTACAAATTATATCTGCCTTTTTATGACTGTTTTTCAAAGTATTACCTTCTTTTCTACTGAATATATTGTGTGTCATTCATTATGAATGAATTTACTAAATATTAGTAATTAACTGGAGGGAAAATAGCAGTGGGTTTTTCTGGTGCACTAAAGTAGGTGAAGCATTTTCATCCTTTCTCATGTCCTATGATTAGGATGGTGAATGTGTGCCTTGTGATTTGTTATTCTGTTTATACAGCCTTGCTGCTTGAGAAATTTATATATTTCATGTTTTGGCAGCATCAAACAGGAAAATAATTTTTAGGTCTGTTTTGAAAAAAAAAAAAACTGACAGGAATGTCATATATATACATGACAAAGATGTAAATTATTCGAGTTTCAAGGAGACAATAGTTTTCTTGGAGAGTATATACTATTCTTTCGTTATTTAAAGCGACTTCTGTCAGACAAAAAATTAATCAGTCTGGTTGATCTAAGAAAGAATTAGAACCTTTTATTCAAGCTAAAATGAGGATTATAACCTGGAAGCCATTCAGAAAGCTCCAAGAACTATTCTGCCTGTTAGAAGTCAAAACACAGTTATAGAACTTTTATGACAGAGGGGCTTGTGCATTAAATGATACACAATCCAGATCTGCAGGTACAAAGTGATGGGTCGTGTGACCCCTTACAGGATCAAGAAGGAATGTTATCTTTGAAGCAGTTGTCTTGATGGTGCTGGGAGGATGTTACTCTTCATGGTTGAGCAGGTATTTCTGCTCATGGTGGAGGTATGATGGATGCATGATGCAGATAAACAGTGTGTATTAGAGGGGAGAGAGAAGGCCAAAGGGCATGGCACTGCTTTTTATGTTTAAATTTTTCTTGTCTTCCCATAAAGTACAAATTTTATTTTACACTTCCATCATAATTAATTCATTAATTACAACTGAACCAGAAATACTTCTAAATCCTAACTTAGTATGTATAATACAGTTAACATGCACATACTAGAGAAAAGCATGGAAACCCTACAATAGCAACTTTCTCAACTTTAATATAAAACGCACCATGCCTCATTTTTCTCTACTGTGAAAACTGGGTAGTCTTTCAGCTATCACTTTTTACTCTTGGGAGGAAGGCTGGAGATTATTTTATGCTGGGCTAATGTAAAAAGAATCCAAGACTATAAAGGTTGCAATTTAAATTTCATTAGAATTATGTGCTTCATATCAGCATTATGAAATTAAAAACTTTTGGTTTATCTTGCACTTTCAGAAAGTTCTCTTTTAGCAGTTAACATAATTGAATTGCATATTAGTATTATTTAAACTAAGAGAAAGATCTTAATAGTGCCTACATTTTATTATACCCTATCATCTAAGGCCTAGATGATGCTTACTAGTTAATTATGTGGCTGTGGTGTACACTAGTAATCTTTTAGGAATTTATTTGCTTTAGATTTGGAGGTAATAAATGTCTGGTATGTTTTTTAAACTTTATTATGAAAATTTTAAACATTAACAAAGTAGAGAGACTTGTATAATGAATCCTCATATATTCATCTGTCCTCACTAGTTTCATATAATGTCGCTTCTTGTTTTATCTGTACATTCCCCACCATAACTTGCCTTCCAACCCCCCATGCTTTTGAAGGAAATCCCAGACATCAGGTAACTTCATTGAGAAATATTTCAATATGTATCTCTAAAAGAGAATCAAAATATCTATATTCCCGGTGAGTACTAGCTAGCTCTGTTGTGGAGAGGAAGTTCAAGAGTGCTTGCTAACTGGCCTGCCATCACATTGTGTTGTAGTTTATTTGCATTTAGTAAGATCCAGAGTTTATATTACTTGGCTTTTTTATTATTACAATAAGTCTCAAAGGATTTGGAGTGTTGATTTTGTAAATAACATCTAAGGAAACATGATTACCATTATGAATATGTATGAAGATATGTGACAGTCCTCATCTCAGAGCTAACCCGCAATTTGCTTAGTCAGTTTTTTCAGGCTCCTCCCCAGTTCCAAAATTTGTTTCTTTATTTAAATGCTGAGAAACAGCATGTAAAACTTAGTTTCAGATGAAATTTATAAGCCATAAATTTATAATTTGTGAAATTTATAAGTCAGAGAGAGAGAAAATATGTGTATGAGGTTGAAAAAAGAGGAAGGGCGGAACAGCCTGGGTTCTAGAGAGATAGCTTCCCCTTTAGTTCAGTGTCGCTTAACCCACCTGCTCTCTTGGTCTTGACTTTTTAATTTCTCTCTGTTCTTGCTTTCCTTTTTGGTTTATATCTTTTTCTTCTCTGAAGTTAGGCATTTACCTAACTTTGCCTGTGGCATTTATATTGTTGATTCCTTCTTTATTATGTAGGGATTGTTTTATTGCATAGGGGTTGTGACATAAAGCTTTAAAAAATAAATATTTTATTTGTTGTGTTTTATTTGTTTTTATACAGATTTTGACAAATATTTAAACTCATGCTATGGTCTAGATTGAACTTTTCTGTACTCTGTAAATGAATTATATAGTGTATGAAGCATTATATATAGACATTTAGGTTCACTTTATGTGCCCTTTTTGAAAAATTTTGTAATAAATTTTCCTTTTTTGTGTGTTCTCTTTTGCTGCTCCTTTATTGGATGGAACTGATTCTATTCGAATGTGATTCTACAGTTCACAAGATTCCTTTGCAGCTCACCTTTGGAGGTAAGAGGTTACTCATTGACCTTAATACTGCTATTGGTTACTTTGGTGAGGCATTTATTTGATAATTTAGGAGTGATCATTTTGTCAGGATGTATATTCTTCAATACCATAAATGAGATGAATGCACACTTTGTTTTATAAGACTTCCAGTAGTTCCAGAGCTATTCACCTTCACAACAGATCGTTGCCCTCATTTTATCAGGTAGACTGAAGTCAGTCCATTTTACTTACTTGTTTTTTATTTTACTTATTTAGTTTTGGCTGTGCGGGGTCCTCAGTGCTGTGCGGGCTCTCTCTATTGCGGTGCTCGGGCTTCTCACTGCAGTGGCTTTTCTTGGTGCTGAGCGCATGGTCGAGGTCGCACAGGTGTCAGCGTCTGTGGCACGTGGGCTCAGCAGATGCCACCCCCAGGCTCTGGAGCCCAGGCTCAATAGCTGTGACTCATGGGCTTAGTTGCTCTGCTGCATGTGGGATCTTCCCAGATCAGGGATTGAACCTGTGTCTCCTGCATTGGCAGACAGTCTTGACCACTGAGCCATCAAAGAAGCCCAGATCAGTCCATTTTAGTGTCTTGTTTTGTCTCCTTCCTCCCATGACGGTCTCACATTGACTTTATCTTCCATAAACTGCCCTGGTGTTAAAGGGGAGCTGGAGAAGTCTGGGCAGAGGCTGTCACCAGGGAGGTTTCAGTTAGTCTGAGAGAACTTTTTAAAACCCGTGGATTGATTAGGGAAGAGCAGAGGACTTACTTGTATTGAGCTCCATTATGCCCACACAGGCTTCTAGGTGCCCGGCTCACTTTCTCATCTAATTCTTATGACGGTTCTGCAATTTAGACCTGAAAATGCAGTGGTGAAATTGTGAGATAACGAAAACTCTTAATCAGAGAACCAGATACAGGTGTGAGCTGTGGTTGAAAAGGAATTAATTGGAGAAGATGGTGAGATTTTGGGAAAGGAGTCAGAGAGGCGAAGAAGTGGGGCACGTGGAGGGACTCAGTACCAAACCTGGAGTTCAGCCAGGTCTTCACTTACTGGACACACAACTCGGGGCAGTCGCAGCGTCCCTGAGCCTCAGCTTGCTTGTCTTCAAGATGCAGATAATGATTTCTACCTCTCAAATGAGGCAGTGGACATGGGAGCAAGTTATAAAGTGCTCTTCAGGTCTTACTGATATTTTGTGTTCTCCTCTCAGGCTGTGCTTTAGCCTCACTTGATAAGACTCTGTCCCTGCCTTTCACTTGTCCTTCCTTTTGCCTCTGTTGTCTACCTCACTCTGTGTTCCCTTCCCCACCCCCAACCTCTGCAGATCACATCCTACTTCAGGCCGAGCCTAGATGCTGTATTGTCTGTGAGGCCCTCTCTGCTCCACATAGAGGCAATTGTGCCCTTCTCTGTTTCCATATTATATTCTCTGATTATTGAAGCTACTGTTGTTACGTGGTGTGGCCCGCCCTCCTGGTGGCCAGCTTGAATGAGTTCCAGGGGAAGCGGAGCAGACCAGAGGGGTAGTACCGTCCAGGTTTGGTTCCATTTTCTATGTCCAGCAACCAGGGGGAAACAAAGCCTGGAAAGATTCTGGGCTTTGAAATGAGAGATCCTTGGGTGGCCTGTGAGCAAGTCGTTTCATCTTTTAAGTTCATCTAAGACATGGAGATAATAATAATACTCACAGGGTTATTAAAATGAAAGGAGATAATGTGTGATAAACGCTAAGTGTAATACCTGTCACATAGAGTTTTAAATGAATTTTGGTGTAAAAGCAATAAAAGTTAAAACTATATCATAAGAAACTTGAAGACAATGTAAACTATATAGTCTCCTAGTTAGTTGATAAAGTGCTTTCTAAACATAGAATGAGAAATATCACAAAGGAAAAGATGGAAAAATTAAATTGGATTTTGTAAAAAAAAAAAAATCCATGATTTGGTTCATGAAAACATACATAGTTAAAAGGCAGTTTGGGAAAGTGTCGTAAAATGATTATTGTACTTAATATAATCTCTTAGAATCAGTTTTTAAGTATAATGTTGTCTTTTGACTGAGATGTACATCAGGGAAATCTCTAATGTCAAAACAGGGTCTAATCTTGGGAAAAAAAGGGACCGGCAGGAGCTTAGAAGAAGAGATCATGTTGATAATGCTTAAGGCTGGACTCTCATTTAAGCAAGAGCTCAGAGGAGTTGCCAGGAATAGGAGTTTTGAGCAGAAGGCATTTGGGCTGGATGAATTTATCTACACAGGGAGTAAATGAGGAGGCTGGAGCTTGATGTCTGCCTCACTGGGACAAACTACCAGTTTGAAGATGTTACTGAACAATAGCAGAGATACTTTAAATAGTCCTCACTGGTAGATTTCTCTTAAATGTAAGCTCAGTAAGAGAGGACCCTGTTTCTCTTGCTTCCTTGTGTTTACATATAATAGTTAAGTACTCTTGATACATGGGCTTCTCAGGTGGTGCAGTGGTAAAGAATCCACCTGCCAGCGCAAGAAATGCGGGTTTGATCTGGGTTGGGAAGATGCCCTGGAGGAGGAAATGACAACCCACTCCAATATTCTTGCCTGGAGAATTCCTTGGACAGAGGAGCCTGGGGGCACTCCAGTCAATGGGGTCACAAAGAGTTGGACACGACTGAGGATGTACACACTATTGATACATAGGAAGCACTGAATATGTATTTGTTGAATGAATGATTGAAGGAATAAGTAAGTAGGCACAGTGAAAGCTGAGAGTAGCAAGCTTTTCCGCATAATCAGGGCTGCCAGAGCACACACGGGCTAATATTTATGTCTCAATCTGGTTAACAGTCTCTCTTCCCAGCTAGATTGTAGCTACTTAAGATCAGGATCTTTATTTTTTTCACCTTTGGATGATCTCAAGTATAAATAGGACTTGGAATAGTACCAACCGTACACCTAGACTTGTACCAAACAAATATTATAAAAATTACATATTATTCTGGCTAAATGCTGGGGAATCTTTATGTAGAAGCTTCAGTCTTTGGTGAAAAGTAGAAAGGAAAGCATCATGATCAAAGTTAAGTGATAGTTTTTGTTTTTTTCTGTCTAATCTGCTTTTTCCGTTTAATGATCTGGAGTTGTACTTTACCTTGGCTAAATTGATCTTTTTTTCTTACTGGGCTTATGGACATGGAAGAGGCAAAAGAATCAAAATTGAAGATGACCAATGCGCTTTCTTTTTTTGAAGCATTTGGGAAATACTTTAACCTTTTTTTTTTTTGAGAGCATTCTGTTGGTATTTTCTAGCTTGAATTTCCCAGGGACACCTGATGGCATGGTTAGTGACTGCTCCCCCCAGGCCTCCAGCAGTGCTGAGTTTAGGATTCTGGTCCTTTGCTGCAGCGCAGAGCCCGAGAGCCAAGGCAAAACCAAGGCAGAAGAATGTTGAGAATCTCTAAATGTTTAATTTTGCCATTAAGCTTATGCTTTAGCTGGAGAAGGAAAATTGCAAATATGGTTAATCCCCAAATACCTTATTTTGAATAAAAGAAAAATAGTTCAGTAGAGGCAGTAAAATACTTGAGGTTTGCAGTTGAAAATGAAGGAGACTTTAAATTTCATTCTGTCCGCAAAAACTACCATGAATGAACCACGCTCCTTTGTTGGAAGTCCTAAACAGTTAACTGCCACATGAATCTAACGAAATTGTCAGGTTATAGTAATCACATCAGTAATGTGATCTGCTGTCATTTGAATGGAGCCATGTGTGGAGAGTCAGTTACTTCCCTCTGTGGGGCTGACCCTTTTACATTCCTGTAAGCTGAAGACTAATAGAGCTCATTAAGCTTTATGGGAAAAGAGCTTTTATCACCTCGTCAAGTCAGGCAGCATATTTCCATTATATTCCTAATTTCGTGTGGCTCTGTAGCTGCTGATGTGCCTTCCCCTGCTAGGTTTACATGGCATCTCTCCCTTACAGACATTTTTATTGACATTTCCTAAGCCTGAATTACATTTGTGTGGCACCACCTACAGATGTCTTCAATTAAATGTAGGTAAATAAAAGGGATTATGTATCAGAGGCTGAGAGATTCTTGAAATTCTCTTCTAAGTCAGACTTTGCCAGCCAGTCCAGTAGGGTGCAGTCTTGCCGTCATTTTGGAGGGGAGAACTAGCGGAAGAGGCATTTGTAAGAAAAGTTAGGCCACGTGGGAATGTGGGTCTCTTAGGAGTCTCTTCAAGAATGTCTATCGCTTCATTCCAGATAGCTGAAGATCTTCTTTGTTAGCAGTTATCATCATAATTTTTTGAGAAGTTAGCACCTGTAGTATATGGGGGTACTCTTGGGTTACATTATTCTCACAGAATGTCTATGCAGCAGTTATTTCCAGTTTCCTTATGAAGAAAATTGAACCTGGAGAAGTAGATTAGTTGAGTTCAAGATCACAGCTACTAGTGACCAACAGCAGCATGTCTTAAGAGCCTTATGTTACGTGAAGTGATGATAATATTATTTGAAGGAGAAGAGTGAAAAATTTGAGCTCTTCCAGTGCGGCACTGTTGACACCCTGGGTTGGGTGAATCTCTTTTCTGAGCACCATCCTGTGCACTGTGTGATGCTCAGTACGGTCTGTGGCCTCTACCCTAGAGATGCTGGTAGCACCCTCCCCCGGAGTTGAAACAAAATGTCTCCAGACTTTGCTAAGTGTCCCTAGGAAGTAAAATGACTCCCTGTTAAAAACTATTGCCCTGGAATAGTCTTAACAAACAAAGGACAAAGAGAGTTAATAATTCACTAGTGATAGTAGCAGTGGTAACACGTTTTCAGTCTCCCAAAAGGTGGGGAAAGGGACAGGTGAAAAAAAAAGGACAAATGAATTGAATAGAAAACAAATAGCAAACAGGTCCACTTAAACCCAACCATAGCAATTGTTACACTAGATATTAATGATCTAAACAAAAGTCTGCTCTATGGAAATGTTTTATATATGTACAGTTGAAAATATGTATGCAGCCAGTGGTCATACATAGCCACTGTGC